GCCACTTAATGAAAATCTGTGACTTGCTGATCAGGGTATGTGTGTGGGTCCGTGACCCCGACCACACTGCTGAATGAGACAGTCCTTGGTTCTTTCTGTACGTTACCTGTAGACAGCATCAGAATCAGCTGATCATTCCTTTCCCCTTACAACCCCTCCTCCTCATCACTTCCAGGATCACGTGCTCTTCACCTCCTCCAATTGCATTGATAGCCCCTTTTTGGTCTTCTTTAGTGATGTGTCCTCATACCAATTCCATACTAGTTGATTCTAAACACACTCTCCTCGCCCCCCTTAGTGACCTCATAAAGTCTCCTGACTTAAAATAATGACTCAATGCAAAACCTAAAACTATAAAGATTGTCAAGGAAAAATAGGAACAAAGGTAGGGACCCTAACACATGATATAAATACACTATCAAACAAATAAAAATGCACAAACACCATGTGGTGGTTAAGTTTGTGTCAACTTGGCTGGGCCTGGTTGAGTGGCTGGGCAGCTGGTGGTAGTTATTCGCCATGATGAGACTGGCAATCAACTCCATGATGGGACCTACCACAAGCAGCTGAGTAGCTGCCTTTGGGATGTGGTCTGCTCCCCGTATATGAGAAACAGCTTTGGGAATGGACTCTAGCTTATGACACACTTGAACTCTGCATGTAGCCATGTCATTGTTCAGCAGCCTGCCATGCTCTGCTGACCTGGGGACTTAAAGTAGACTTGAATTAACAGCCTACCGTGTGGTTTGATAACATCGGGACTGTGCTCTTTTACTTGTCACCCTTGGCCTTGTCAGTCTCAGTGGCCAGCAGCTGTCTGAGTGAAGAAAAGCCTCCAGCTTCAGTAGGCCAGGAGCAGGAGGCAGAGCTGAAGCCTAAGGTTGAGGGGCTTTTACCCAACCCCTAGAGCCTGGCACTTTGAACTCAGATTTAAAGCCTCCAAACTGTAATAGAAAAAACTCCCCTTTGTTAAAGCCATCCCATTCGTGGTATATTCCTGTCAGAGTGGCACTAGGGAAACAAAACACACCAGAAGACAAACTAGATGATGGGAACCTCCAAAAAATTAGACACTTAGGTACATAAAAAAATTTCACCAGTGAGAATAAAAAGAGAACCACCGACTGGCAATGAAAGTTGGCAATGACCTATCTGAAAAGGAGCTGATCTCTAAACTTTATAGAAAACTTCAACATCTCAACAACAAAAAAGACCAATAATCCGATCTAAACATGGGCAGAGGACATAAACAGATCCTTCACCAAAGGGGATATTCAGGCAGCCAACACATGAAGAAATGCTCACGATCATTAGCCATTAAAAACCAAAAACCAAACTCACTGCCGCAGAGTTGGACCCGACTCATAGGGACCCCTCCTTCAGTTTCCGAGGCAGTATCACTACGGAAGTAGACTGCCCAATCTTCCTTCCAAGGAGTGGCTGTTGAGTTTGAACTGCCAGCCTTCTGGTTAGCAGTCAAATGCCTTAGGCACTACGCCACCAGAGCTCCCCATTAGTCATTAGTGAGATGTAGATCAAAACAACAAGATATCCTCTCACTCAAGCATTAATAATAAAGGTCAAAAAAAAAAAAAAAAACACAGAAAACAACAATGCTGATGAGGGTATGGAGAAACTGGTACCCTCATACACTGCTTGTGGGACTGTAAATTGGTGCAACCACTGTGGAAAATGGTATGGTGCTTCCTTAAAAAGCTAGAAATAGAATCCTGTATGACCCAGCAATCCCACAACTAAGTATATATCCTAGAGAAATAAGAGCCCCAACACAAACAGATCTACGCATGTCCATGTTTATCACAGCATGATTCACAACAGCAAAAAATGGAACCAATCTAACTGCCCATTGATGGATGAATGGATAAACTATGGTAATACATACAATGGAACAACAATGAATCTGCAAAACCTCCCGTAACACAGATGAACATAGAGGATGTTAGGGTGAGTGAAATGAATCAATCACAAAAGGACAAATACTGTATGAGACCATTATCGTAGAAAGTCAGTAAAAAATTTTTCCCACAAAAAAGAATATTCTTTGATGATGAGAGGGGAAATGAAGGGAAGGCATTAACTAGATGGTTAACTTGTGTGAAGGGGAAGGCAATATATAATACGGGAGATACCTGTTTTATATATTTATATATTATTATCCCTTATTGAAGGACCTCTGGTAGTGTAGTGCCTAAGGCACTTGACTGCTAACCAGAAGGCTGGTGGTTCAAACCCACCAGCCACTTCTCGGAAGGAAGGCTGGGCAATCTACTTCTGTTGTGATACTGCCTCGGAAACCCAAGGTGGGGTCGCTATGAGTCGGGTCAAATAACAACATCCCTTATTGATAAATTTATAAATGTGAAAAAGAAAAAACCATATATACATAGACACACACACACACACACACACACACACACAGGCTGCAATTTAAGAGCCAGTACAACAGATGTAGAATTGGTTTAATAAATATTTAAATATGTGGGGAGAAAAAAAGATACAATTTCTACTTAGGAGCTAAATTATGTGATGCAAATTATAGGTGCTCTCAGAATTCAAGAAGGAGCTCTGGTAGCATAGTGTCTAAGGCATGTGACTGCTAACCAGAAGGGTGGCGGTTCAAACCCACCAGCCACTCCACAGAAGGAAGATGGGGCAATCTACTTCAGTAAAGATGTACCACCTCGGAAACCCAATGGGGTTTGCTATTAGTCTGAATCTACTTGATGGCAGTGAGTTTGAGATTTCTTTTTTTTTTTTTTTTTTAAGGTTTCAAGGACAAGAGAGCCCATGGAAAGTGAAAAAGCTTGCAAGAGGGAGGTTTGGGGCTGAGCACCGAAAAAGCAAAAAAAAAAAAAAAAACTTAACACACCAACTGGGAAGGAAACATGGAAGCTGTTCCCATGATAAAGAACAAGTGTGTCATTCCCATGGCTTCACCAAAGGCCTTGACAGGTCAAGGAAGTAGCCTTTACAGAAGGTTTGGAATAAGACTGGGTGGAGACAAGGAAACCCTAGAGGAGACCCCTGGGTGGTGCAAACAGTTAAAACATTCAACTGCTAACTGAAAGGGGGAGCCTCAGAAAAAAGGACTGACAAGCAACTTCTTAAAAAATCAGCCACTGACGGCCCCATGGAACCCACTCTGACACGCACGGGGTCACCGTGGGTTGCAGTTGACTCAACAGTAACTGTACACCCACTCCTCACTTATCTATATGGTTAAGTTCCAAAGACCAGGTCATGATGTGAAAAATGCAGCACGACTACACCAGATCCCAAAATGGAGGATGATTACATCATTACATAACTGCCAAATTACATCATTACCTAACTGCCAAACCACTGAGACCCACTGCCCAGCCAAGTTGACACCTAACTGCATACTTGGAGAGAGAGAAGGGAAAAACATGACAGAATTAAGGCAGGACAGGATTAGGGATGTGATCTTCCTCCTAAACAGGGTCTCACATCAGTAAATAGCACACCCATTGTGGGAGTTAAGGATGTGGGTCAATTTGGCTGGGCCTGGTTGAGTGGCTGGGCAGCTGGATGTAGCTATTGCCCATGATGAGGCTGGTAATCAACTCCAGGGTGGAATCTACTGGAGCAGCTGAATAGCTGGCTTAAGGATGGGATCTCCTTCTAGTATATAAGAAGAAACCTGGAGAAAGGTCCAGGTCCATGCTCTGTGGAGTGCTTGGACCCTGCATTTAACCGAATCTTCATTCAGCAGCCTGCCATGTTGCCTGCTGATCTTGGGACCATTTCTGGACTTGAACTAGTGGTCTGCCATGTTGCTTTATAATCTTAGGCCTGTGACATTTTACTTATCGTCTGGGTTTGTCAGCCTCAGCAGCCAGAAGCTACGTGAGTGAAGAGACGCCTCCAGCTCCAGTGGGCCAGGAGCAAGAGGCAGAGCTGAAGCCCAAGGTTGAGGGGCCTTCACCCAGCCCCTAGAGCTGGCATACTTTGAACTCAAACTTCTAGCCACCCAAACCGTAAGAGAATAAACCCGCTTGTTAAAGTCATCCACTTGTGGTATTTCTGTTAGAGCAGCACAAGAGAACCAATACACCCATCCAGACACACAAACCACAGACCAAGGGTACCTCCTGCTGTCTCCTCCCCTCACAATCCATCACCATTCTCCCTCTAAAACACATCTGGAATCTGAACAGCTCCACCACTGCCTACACTCTACTCCCGACTCAGTGCCTAAATTCTAACTGCAGTTTAACAAAATGTCGTTGGAAATAAACTCATATGTTTATATCACATTGAAGGAGCCCTGGTAGTTGCAATGGTTAAGTGCTCAGCTGCTAACCAAAAGGTCAGGTTCAAGCTCACTTAGCAGCTCTGCAAGAGAAAGAACGGCAATTGCAGCCATAAAGATTATGGCCTAGGAACCCCTACGGGGCAGGTCTACTCAGTTCGACTCAATGGCACACGACAACAATATATCATTATTATATAACATTTTCTCTTACACGTCATAAATCATAAAGAACTCAACACAGCACAAGGCAAGTGTATCACAAACCCAAGCAAAGATGCTGTGCTGTTTCCAAGCAGTCTTCTGCTCTCTGGAAAGAAGGTTTACAAAACTCTGTAGCCTATATTTAACTTTGACCTCAATAGAAAAACTGATCTTCCATCCTGTCTCACACTAATTCTCTCCAATGGCCAATCTGCTAAGACTGAGCATAAAAACTAGTTGAGGTAATATGTAAATAACTTTCACCAGCATCAAATGAAAATTTAAGCATGATTTATTTTTAACACATATGTGAAATAAAATACCTCAAGTGGACAGAATATATGCCAAAATGCTACCTCTGTTTAAACACTACACCACTCTAAAAAGGCAGAAAGTCCAAGAAATGGGTCTCGGAGACTATTAAAAATCACATTAATTTACAGCTGTATAAAATCAGAAGCTCAGTTTGATAAACCCCATTTCATCCTTAGAATAGGCTCACCTGGAGTCTTGGCTATGGTTCCCTGGAGAGCCCGGTGGGCAAACGTGGAATACCCCACTAACTTCGCCAGAAGGTCTCTGTTGCTGAGTAATTCTTCTAAACAGTTCAGTTGACCACCATTGGGATAAAGAAAAATTTTATATGCCGCTTCTCGCACCTGTATTTAAAAAGTCAATGGTACAAGACATCAATACCGTGACACAGAACCCCACGCAACAGTAACTCTGGCCAACTCTTGCCACTTTATCTCTAGACGATCATCACTCTAAAGATAATCACGACTTAAATAAGGCAAAAAAATGCTTTGGGATTCATAAAATAGTATGGGCTGCGGAAGTTTACTTGCCTGGAGCTCCAGGTGCTGTTCTGGGGAAAAGAGAGGACAAAATCTGTGCGTTACGGTATTGGCAAAGAATACTGACTATGCCACGGACTGCCAGAAGAACAAACAAATCTGTCTTGGATGAAGTACAGCTGGAATGCTTTCCTAAGAAGCAAGGTTGGCGAGACTTCATCTTACGTACCCTGAACTTGTTGTCAGAAGGGACCAGTCCCTGGAAAAGGACATCACGCTTGGTAAAGTAGAGGGTCAGCGAATAAGAGGGAGACCCGCAGTGAGATGGATTGACAGGGTGGCCGCAACAACAGGTTCAAGCCCTGCACGGTGAGGACACATTTGTTCTGTTCACATATAGGGTCACTATGAGCCAGAACCAACTCAACGGCGCTTAAGAACAACAACGGGACAAAATCTTACCCAGGGCACATGTCTCTATTCCATAACACACTTCTACCAACGTGCGTTAAAAACCTGAGTAGTCTAGAATGTCGACCACTGCTGTTATCTATCAGACCTTAAAATGAGGCATTTGTTACAAGACAAGGGCAATTAATCCATTTTCTTTATTCAAAGCATTTACAGAATTAACGACTCTACCAGGCATGTGGCTGTTAATCCAAAGGTCAGCAGTTCAAACCCACCATCCGCTCCAAGGAAGGAAGGTGGGGCGATCTACTTCTGTAAAGATTTACAGCCTTGGAAACACAATGGGGGTTGCTATGAGTCGGAATTGACTCCATGGCAGTGTATTTGGTTTCAGTAACACTAAAGTATTTTTGGGAGCTCTGGTAGCACAGTGCCTAAGGCACTTGACTGCTAACCAGAAGGCTGGTGGTTCAAACCCACCAGCCACTCCTCGGAAGGAAGATGGGACAATCTACTTCTGTAGAGATACTGCCTCAGAAACCCAAGGAGGGGTGGCTATGAGTCGGAGCTGACTCAACAGCATATAACAACAACAAAAGTATTTTTAAAGGTATTATTATATTTTTAAGAGTATTATAAGTTTGAAAAAAAAAAAACAGCAACTCCAATGGGACACAAACTATAAAGAGAAGGAAACACAAACCACGTCATCAGGTGCCTCGGCATGCAGACCGTCGACGATCACGTGTTCACCATCGAGGATGAAGTGACGGCGGATGTGTTCCGGGAGGACGTGCTTCCCAATCTTGTTTGGGACGTTGGTTCCCATGAGGAACATGCTACTCAAGTCCAAGATTTTGACATTGAGGTCCACTGCTCTTTTACGCTATACATGGGGCAAGCCAAAATTATTTAAAGGCATTAAAAATTAGTATTTCACAATTAATACACAATCTAGGCAGATGGCAAATCAATACTTATATCATTGGAATGTGTTACAACATAATAACATTAGATAAAAGAAATTTTAAATGTAAACAATATTGAATATATTTTTATATTACAAATGAATAGCATATAACCCATTGCTGTTGAGTCAATTCCGACTCATAGTGAGCCTAGGACTAGGTAGAATTGCCCCCTGGGGTTTTTCAAGGCTGTCAATCTTTACAGAAGCAGAAGCCCTCATTTCTCCTGTGGAGCAGCCGGTAGGTTTGAACCACCCACCTTCTGATCAGCAGCTGAGTGTTTAACCACTCTGCCACCAGGGCTCTTTATGAATAATGCATTAACTCTATTTTTGACAATTAATAATGTGACAAAATGTCACTCTTATGATTTTATTATGTTTCTCTGCTTTATGATGTAGGAAACCTCTACAGTTCTATTTTACGTCTAGCTTATAACTAACCTTTGAAATTAACAACCTTAACAAGTAGAGTCCTCTCCTCCCCCCTAAAATATCCTTAGTAAAGAGAATCAGAGAATTGGATCTATTCAAAATGAAACAAGAAGCATTTTTAGACTAAAACACTAAGTACTAGAAGGGAAGATTTTAAAATATACTCAATCTTAAAAGTATGCTGAAAGGACAGAAAACCAAAACAACCCAACCCACTGCCATGAACTCAGTTCCAACTCATAGCGACCCTCATGGGGTTTCCAAGGCTGTAAATCTTTACAGAAGTAGATTGCCTCATCTTCCTCCCATGGAGCAGCTGGTGGGTTTGAACTGCTGAACTCATGGTGAGCAGCCGAATGCCTTACCCACTATGCCACCAGAGCTCTTTAACAGGACAGAGGGAAAGAAATTAACTCAATTTCTCCACAAAGCGTGGTGAACAACCAGAAGGGAGGCAATCACATTGTGTAAGCTCTAACTGTCCGCATGTTTTAGCTGCTAGGGAAGGAGGGCGGAGCTGGGGTGAGAGCAATCAGTGCAGGGCAGAAACATGGCTCCCTCTGCTTTCCCAGCAGGCGGCACAGACCCCACGCCGGGGATGCAATGGATGGTGAAGTGCTGGCATGCCTACACAGGTTTACCCTCATAATACACAATGTCCCCAGGACACGTCCACTACTCAAGAATCGCCCCAATTGTCTTAAGATGAAATATATATCACAGTTCATGTAATTCATTGAGTCTACTGGAGGAAATGGAAACCAAACCCACTGCTGTGGAGTCGATTCCGACTAACAGAGCCCCTAAAGGACAGAGTGGACCTGCCCCACAGGGTTTCCTTTACATCTTTACAGAAGCAGACTGCCTCATCTTCCTCCCAGGGAGCAGCTGCTGCATTGAACCACCGACCTTTTGGTTAGCAGCTGAATGCTTTAATGACTATACCACCATAGTTCCTTCTAAAAGTACTTAAGGACCACTAATAGTAGCATAGTGGCTAAGGCACTTGACTGCTAACCAGAAGGCTGGCGGTTCAAACCCACCAGCCACTCCTCGGAAGGAAGGTTGGGCAATCCTACTTCCGTAGTGATACTGCCTCGGAAACCCAAGGAGGAGTCGGTATGAGTCAGGGCTGACTCGACGGCACATAACAACAACAACATCTTTTAACACAAATGGAAGCAACAGTCAAGAAATCACACGACATATTGCGCTGGGCAAATCTGCTGCAAAAGATCTCTTTAAAGTGCTGAAGAGCAAACGTGTCTCTTCGAAGACTAAGGGTGCCTAACCCAAGCCACAGTAGTTTCATTTGCCTCATAGGCATGTGAAAGCTGGACAATGAATAAGGAAGACCAAAGAAGAGTTGATACGTTTGAGTTGTGGTGCTGGCCAAGAATACTGAAAGTACCATGGACTGCTAAAAGAACTAACAGATCTGTCCTGGAAGAAATGCAGCCAGAATGCTCCTTGGAAGCAAGAATGGCCAGACTTCAAGTCACCTATTTTGGTCATGTTGTCAGAAGAGACCATTCCCTGGAGAAGGACATCATGCTTGGTAAAGTGGAGGGTTAACGAAGAAGGGGAAGGCCCTCAACGAGATGGACTGACACAGTGGCTGCAACGATGGGCTCAGGTACAGCAGGGATTATAAGGCTGGCACAGGACCGGGCAGGGTTTTGTTCTGTTGTGCACAGGGTTGCTGTGAGTCGGAGCCGACTCGACGGCACCTAACAACAACAACAACATGTTTTAAAGATAAACATACGAGATGCAGATGTGTGCTTGAAGAAGATTCTGAAAAAAAATTAAGTACGCAGTACCAACCAAAAACTTTTCAATAAAGAAGATTCAAATTTCATGGGAAAAAATAAAATGCTCAGAAACTCCAATGCCCTTAATCTGGAACTTCTCGATCTAATTCGTTTCTGGCATGGCTCTTTATCACCACCTAATGGTAACTAGTGGGATAGCAAAAAAGATGATTAAAAAAACCAAAACCAAACCCATCACCGGTAAGTAGGACTCATAAGGACTCTGTAGGGTGGAGCAGAGCTGCCTCGTGAGGTTTTCAGAGCTGTAAATATCTACAGAAGCAGACTGCTACATCTTCCTCTGGCACAGAGGCTAGTGGTTTCAAACCACTAACCTTTCAGTTAGCAGTCAAGCACTTCACCACGCCACCAGGGCTCCTCAAAAAAAAAAGATGACAGATTACTGAAAATTACACTCAAAAAACTCACTGCCATCAAGTCGGATCCGACTCATAGGGGCCCCTCCTTGGGTTTTCAAGGCAGTATCACTACAGAAGTAGATTGCCCAGCCTTCCTTCCGTGGAAGGGCTGGTGGGTTTGAAACTCCAGCCTTCTTGGTTCAAACCCACCAGACACTCCTTGGAAGGAATGTTGAGCAACTTACTTCTGCAGTGAAACCGCCTCAGAAACCCAAGGAGGGGTCGCTATGAGTCAGAAATTACACTACAATTCCAAAACTTTTCCCCAAAGCCTTTACTGTTGTTGGGTGCTGTGGAGTTGATTTTCAACTCACAGTGACCCCGTGTGACAGAGTGGAACTGTCCCATTAGGTTTCCTAGGCTGTCATCTTCATGGAAGCAGATTGCCAGGTCTTTCTCTCAAAGACCCGCTGGTGGGTTTGAACTGCAGACCTCTCAGTTAGCAGCTGAGCAATTAATAGCTGAGTGCTTAAACTCTTACTATGGGTGGGGGGGTGCGCATGGGGGGTTATAAAATTAATTATTTCAAAGAACTTATCACCCGATAAAATCCCTGGAAAAGTAAAACCTGGGTTCACATTCTGACTTTATCAATGACCTGCTCGACTCATTTTACCAGTCTATCACTCTGAGATAATAATGAAACACCCAGGGCTCCGAACTCTCTGAAAATTCTATGAAACTGTGTTATTTACTAAACGATTGCTAAAAGACATATCCTTCCACTCATTGAAAACTGTTAAATGACATCCACATCAGAGCTTAAAATAAAAATTAAATAATCAACTGAAAAGGACACAGGGCTTTATGGCTGGTAGATCATACTGGTGGTTTTATCTTAAGGCCTCTCTTTCAAAAATTGTAACATGTCTTCTTTGTGTCCTGTCCTACTGGAGCATCTTTGGGAACAAATACGGAAGTCACAAGAGATGGAACTGCAGCAGGTTTACAGGACTTGCACCAATTCAAAAGCATCGACTCTTCTTCCGTCTTCCTTATTCATTACTCAGCTAAGGATTCCCCAGCTCCTTGGTAGGAAGAGGGCAGCTCACGCTGTAAGAAAACACGTTAGATAAAAGCAGCAACATCTGTGCCGGCGAAGCTAAACTACATTGAGTTTCAGTCACTAAGTTTCACATACATCTCTCAGGAGAGTTACCCAAAATCACAGAAGTATCCACAGAGACTGCCTCCTAGCACCCTTCCTCCTGATGGTATCAGACGTGATTAATGTGAGCCATCGTTTGTATGGCCTGTCGCGTGTTCATTCAGTGGTTCATTGAGTCCAACACTGATATTGTATTAAAAAATCAACCCTGCTCTGTGTCTTTCATAAGTCTCTAATTAAGATAAGAGATATAATAATATAATAGGAACAACTTCAATAAAAGGCAGTTAAGATAAGAGTGAAATAAATAAAACATGAGTACAGAGGAATGCGTAACTTGGTACAAGCCTCGTGGACAACATGGCCTCAAGATGAGGCCTTAGCAGAATCTCAGGCCAACAAACATGGCTAGCAAGGCACGCTGGCATCACAGACACAGGGAACCAGGCTCACTGGGTTCACAGACATGTCAGGACTACCACTGTGGGGAGCCGGGCAAACCAAGACATGCCAGGATCACAACAGACACACGCCAGGACCACAGACACAGGGAACCAGATACACCAGGACCACAGACATGCCAGAACCACAGACACGCCTTGACCACAAACATGGGGAGCCAGGCCTGCTGGGACCACAGACACAGGGAGCTGGCCCCCCACTAAGATGCCAGGCCTACCAGGCCCACAGACACACCTGGACCACAGACACAGGGAGGGCGTGTGTTCAACACAGGGGCACAGGGTCCCATGAGCACACAGAACAGAGGGTGCTGGGAGAGCCTCTCCAGCGGTCATGTGTCCGTCAGCTGGCGATCTGCACTATTTACACTTCTCCACCAGAGAACCGGAAGTCACAGGAAGGCAGGCAGGAGAGTCATGGTCAAGGAAATGCTTACGACAGTAAATGGTATGTTCACGCCCAGGCTGAACAGACAGACAGCAGCCTGACAAGGAAGGCCGGCCCGGTGGGCTCTGGAGCCGCCTGTCTGGTGGGTTCCTCCACTGACTGACTCTGTGACCTTCAGCCAACCCCAAAACCTCTCAAGATCTGGGTTTCGTCATCTGTCACGTGAGTAACAAGAGTGCCCATCCCAGATCTCGTGTGGCATCGGATGAGAAACACAGGCTCCAAACAGCTCATGTCCAACTGATCTGGGTTACAATGATTCTGAGGAAGACAAAGGCCATGGGGACCTAAGGATCTTTATAAAATGCAAATTTAAGCAATATACAAGGATGGTAGCAGCGCAGTAAATCAAGCATCTGGCTGCTACCCAGAAGGTCAGCAGTTCAAACCTACCAGTCGCTCTGCGAAAGGAAGATGGGGCCATCTCCTTCCACAAAGATTTACAGTCTCAGAAACCCGATGGGGGTCGCTATGAGTCAGAATCGACTCAATGGCAGTGGGTTTGGTTTTCTGATTTGCAGCAGTAAAGATACCACTAAAATGAAACAAATGGAGTCAAAGTAACAAAAGGGAAGAGTTACCTTTTCTTTGTCTAAATGGATCCCACTGATTTCAAAATCAAACATAAACAGTTCAGCCACTCGCCTATTAAAAGAAAAAAAAAAGAGTCCAGGTTACAAGAGGGAAGAATAATTACAAATAAAAATCAGCGTTCATTAAATAAATCAGCCTTTTTGAATCCTACTGCCCCAAAAGAAGATGTTTCAACACACACACACAATGTTTGTATATTTCTAATTCAAGGGTTTACCACCTCAGAAACCAGGTCAAACAGCCAGCTGACTGGGTGGGTTTTGAAGCTATCACACGGCTGATCTGGTTTTGCACACATCATGGCTAATTGAACAACCAGCTTTAAAGTGAAACAAAGGAATGACGACTACTCCAACGACTCCACTTTCTTCCAAAGGAGCAGGACATCTTTCCAACTGTCCAACTGTCTATCCTTCAATGAGTATCTTCCTTTTACCATGTGCAACACACCAATTTAAGTACTTACCCTGGGTGGCATAAATGGTTTGTGCTCAACCCCTCACTGAAAGGTTGGCGGTTCAAACCCCCAGGAACACTACAGAAGAGACGCTTGACGGTCTGCTGCCCCAGAGATTATAGCTAAGATCACCCTACGGAGCAGTTCTACATGGGGTCACCATAAGTCACAATCAACTTGACAGCAATGGGTTTGGTTTTGGATTTTCTGGGGGACGCTCTGGTGACACAGTGGTTAAAGCAGCTGCCTGCTAACCAAAAGGTCAGTGGTTCAAACCCATCAGCTGCTCTGTGGGAAAAAGCTGATGCAGTCGGCTTCTGTAAAGATTATAGCCTTGGAAAACCCATGGAGCAGTTCGATTCTGTCCTCTAGAGGCGCTGTGAGCTGCACTCAACTTGACAGCAGTGGGTGTGGCTTGGGCTTTGCTTCTGTAAAGATTGACAGCCTTGGAAACCCTGTGAGGCAGTTCCACTCTGTCCTCTAGGGGCGCTGTGAGTCAGAATCGACTCCACGGCAGTGGGTGTGGTTTGGGCTTTGCTTCTGTAAAGACTGACAG